AGGTAATTGCTATCTGTGCTGTCCCAGCTTGGAGCATTTGCATATCATTCCTCTTTAATTGCTGTTGACCATTAACTCTGAAATGCCTTTGTGTCTCTTGTTTGGTTTTAACTTGCAACTGGCCAGTACTCTGTGAGCAGCAATGTGCATTCTCCACTCTCCAAATCCAAGGTCAAAAACCTGTTGAAATGAGGTTTTTGGAGCCAAACTGAAGTGGGTTTCACTGAGGAGTTATTCTTTCTTTTCTATTCAAAATAGAGGAGCCTCATCTATTTGTACGTGACATCCCACCTTTCTTCCTTCTCCCTGTCAGACTGTCATAGGCTCAGGGAGCATCCAGCAGCACACAGGAGATGGTGCTGCAGCACAGGGAAAAAGCACATGGCTCTTGTGCGCAGTCTTATCTCTGCATCCAGAGCTCCTCGTTCTTTTCCTGAGTTCCCAGGCTGGGGATCTTCATTCTTACCAAATGAAAAAACAAGACACTTTGAGGAAATTCCAGTAGTCCTGAGCCCAAGCTCCCACTGCTCGTGGTTGTAGGAGCTGGAACCCCGAGGTGGTGCGGGCAGGGTCGGCATTTCGGGAGGATTCCTGATGACATCATAACGGCTTTGGTGCCCACTGCTAGTGTTTCTCCTGTATAAACAGTTGGAGGAGCAGTCTTTCATTATTCAGCTTTTAAAAAAGGAAATTAAATGGGTATGAGACTTTGTCAGAGCAGTAGAGGTTTGACCTAACCCCTTGCAGCATGAAAGAGCCATCCTGAGCCTGGTCTTGCTGTACTACTGCACTGCAGGACTCTGAGCTCCACTTGTGTGACTGTGCACAGAAATTCCTCAGCACAGAGGGTTTGGAAGAGGACCTGGCATTGCCTCCCCATGTTCTGGCTTTCCTGGGCTTTGGTCGTTCCTTAATGGGTTGCTGACACTAACGGCAACACCTACCTTAACTGCATGTGGCTAGAGAGCCCAGCCCCGGGTGTGATCCAACGTAGCTTTTCCTCTTTAATTTCCTTTTTTCTTTCCCTAGCCTAGCTTGTGTGGGACACTGGAGCCGTTATGGTGTCAGCAGAGGTGTTTGCCCTTTAAAGACACCCCATTATTTTGGGCGGAGCGGCAGCCGCACGGCGCGTGTGAAGGGCAGGACGGCTGACCCGAGGACGACATCCTCTGCCCCTTAGGAGGTACTGACCTTTTGTGCTTCACTACTTGCCATGACCAAACAGGTTGCTAGACCAGGCTGTCTCTGCAGGTGAACTACAAATGCCACTGATGGTGGAGTTAAACTCAGCAGCATGTGCTGCTCATCTGAGTTAAAAGATCTGGAGAATGTTTTTATTGGAAAAAGCCTGAGGGCTACTTCCTCATAGGTGGAGGTTATTCCATGCATGTTTCTGAGCTTTACTCTACAGAGCTTTGTTGTTCACCTCATGAAGACTGTGGAAAAAAAAGGTCCTTTAAGGACTCTTGTTTCTGGGTATGACTCAGAGTTGAAGTAGAGGGTCTTCTATCCCCTTTGGCCTCTTCAGAGCCCCTGTGGTGCAGGCTGGCTCTGGCTTTATTAGGATCACTCCATCCTGGAATGAAGTTAAATGTGTGCTTTGCTTGCAACCCAGTCAGGCCTTCTCTCTTCAGGAGAGACTGTGTATGGATCACAGGGACTTCTCTTTACCTACATTATTCCTCCTTTTCCTGCTGACACTGATGAAAGATGAGGCCAGCTGTGGTGGGCTGGCATCTGTACTGTGAAAAAGCTTTGAGGGATGGCTGGACTGACTTGCCAGGTACTTTCCTTGGCTGTTGAAGGTTGGTTACTTGTATTGTGACTGGTAGGCACGGTTTTCCCTCCTACAGGAGTTCTTCTGAGCCTCCTGCTCTAGCGAGCTCCTGGGCAGGAGCCTGCGGCCCACACAGTGAGAACCAAGTGAAATTGGAGCAGTCATGGTGTCCGTCTGTGTGGGAGGGCAGTGCTGGTGACTTCTGAGGCTGTTTGAGGCTGGTTTCTCATTTTCTTTTGAAAAGACACAGAAGGTTGGTCAGACTGTGCTGTCCTGGCAGTGGTTCTGGAATCTAAACAATTGACAGTCAGTGCTGGTAATGGCAAGGTCAAGGTCTCCATTTGACTCCACAGTGGCTTAGGAACTTCTTCATCCATCACCTCAAAGCTCATGTCATGGTCTTTGTATTTCCCTCTGGATCCTTTCCTTCTCAATCCTTATTCTGTTCTCTGTTGTTCCTCGCTTTAACCTTGTTTGGACCCCAGTTTAATGGGAGCTGCTGGTGGGTGGAGGGAATGGGTGAATCTGCACTATTCATTCCTACCCTAGGAAAGGGACAAATGGTACAACAGGATTTTGCTGTTTGGCGCATCAGTGACTACATGTTGCATGAGGAGTTGGCCAGCTTGAAACTGGGAGATCTACACTGCTGAGAGGGCTCTTTGAACATAATTAATTTGAATAAGCGGCTCCTAATTGCTCCTATGTAATTGTGTTTGCAATTGGAAGCCTTTATGATCTGTTAAAACTTACTTAAAGTGGTGCTTCTAAGGGTTTCATAATTTTGTGTTTCTTTTTTCCACTTCAGTGTCTGCTTTTCTGGTGTAAAAAGATTGTAGGGAACAGACAAGAAGCAATGTGGGAATTCAACTTCAAGTTCAAAAAGCAGGTATGAAGGAACCAGATCAACTGTGACTTTTGTTTGAAGTAGAAATTATTTATCTGGGGGGATAGGGAAGTGGAAACTTTTTGTCCATTCAGGCAATAAATGCAAACTGATTCCCATGGTAAACTAAAACATGTTGAAACTAAAGCATGTTGTGGAACTACACTCAGTTTTCAGTCTGTGGTATGAAGACATTTAGAATCCCACATTTTTATTTTCTCCTTTGGTATCCTTACCCTGCTATAAGATATGGATCATTTTTTACACCAGTTAATCTCACCTTTGAGTCATTACTGCTGATTGTTACCAAAATCCAGACTGCCCGACTGCGGTGGTCAAAATGTTGACCAAAATCTGAAACTTCTTGTTATGCCATTGCCAAGATTTCTCAGAGAAGTGAAGACAACCAGCACTGCCAGGGAAAGCCTCCAGTAGTGGGTCTTGGGAGAAGCCAGTAATTTCAGGCAATCTTGGGAATTGTGCAGCTTTCCCCTCTAAAGGAGTGGCCCTCAAAATTGCCCATCCTGAGTGATGGCATTTTGTTGTTAATGTGACACTTCGCCCAAGCACCTGGGGAGGAGGAGAGACCCTGCCAGGCCGCACAAGGGAGGAGCAGCCAAACCCAGCAGAGGCTCCTGCTTTGCTAAACCGGCCTCTCTTTCTTTTAAGTCTCCTAGATTTAAGAGCAAGTGTTGCAAAGGTCTCCAGCCCCCAATCCAGTATGAGGAAGTGCACACAAACCCAGATCAGGATTGCTGCCTGCTGCAGATCACCACCTTCAACTTCATCTTCGTGCCAATCGTCATGGGCATGACCTTCACTTTGGTGAGTGGGAGAAAGCTGCCAGGCTTTGCAGATGACGTTCCTGTAAGGACATGAAGAGGGCATCTGGAATCTTCTGTGTTAAAAGGGACCCACAGGGATCATGAAGCCCAACTCCTGGCTCTGCACAGGACAACCCCAAGAATCCCACCCAGTGCCTCTTTTGGGCTGTGTAAATAAATCCTATTGCTCTGTCAGTTCTGGGAATTGTATGGTTAACGAAGAGAGGAAATGCTCAGAATCTGTTTAACTTCTCCATTCCATTGGCCGTTCCCTGTTTGGTGTGGTGAATAGAAAGAATGTAGATAATCTGCCAGGAGATCTGTTTGTGCAGTGTCTGGGGGCCAGTCAGTTACCAGAACTGCAGCAGGTACAGGAGACAGGGAGCAACACAAGTGGAGGAGTGCCCCTCACAGTAAAATATCTTTTTATGGCAATAAATTCTGAGAGGAAAATCCCACATGAGCAAACTCTTTGAATATGTGTTTGGTCCCTGATTGGGAGTCAGGGTTTCAGAAGTGACAAGTGCTCAGGAGAAGTTCAGTCTGGCCTCACAGGAGTTGGGCAGTGAGTTCCAGACTTCTGACAACCGTTTGCTTCCAGGTTCACTTAAAATCAGACTCATAAAATTACTCAGATTGGAAAAGACCTTTAAGAGTCCTAGCACTGCTGTATTCACCCCTAACTCATGTCCCAAGTGCCACATCAGCAGGCCTTTTGAACACTGCAAGGGATGGTGACTCCACCACTGCTCAGGCAGTTCCAGTATTCTTTTACAACCCTTACATGATTATTTGGGGCTGCCAGCCAGAGTGCCTGTTTGGATCCAGTGCTGTAGCCTTGAAAGTGTGACTGTGAAGCACCTTAAACTTGTACAATTTGGAGGAATGTATAAAGTCTAAAAGTGTTGTGTTGAGAGATCTCTTGGCTACTGTGACTTTCTGAAGCAGCTCTGGTCTCCTCTCTTGCAGTTCTCCATCTCGGTGAGCACGGACATGCGGCACCACCGCGTGCGCCTGGTGTTCCAGGACACGCCCGTGCGCAACGGGAAGAAGCCACGCGTGGAGCAGGGGGTGCAGGTGGTACTGGACCCTGTGCACAGTGTCAGGCTCCTGGATTGGTGGCACCCACAGTACCCCTTCTCCCCAAAGGCTTAGTGCTCTCCTGAGGCTGCAGGAGCCTGAATCTGGCAGGCTGAAGAGAATTTCTAGGAACCAGGAAATCCTATTTTTATTTCTGAAATAAATTCTGCAGTCTCCTTGTAAGTGGTTGAAGCTGCTGAGCTAGTTTGTATGTATATAACTTCTGGTCAGTAATGAGCAGAGCTGAGTGTAAAGCAGAAACTATTTGTAAACACACTTTTATGTAAAATTGACATTTTATGATTTGAAAGGAGCTCCCTGGAACTGTTCATTTAAAATCCTTTTGGTGCTAATCAAAGTGGTCCTGTGTTCTCTTGTTCGGGAAGAAGCAGGAGGTTTTACTTTCCAAGAACTTTCCCTTTTGCTTTCCGGGAACAATTGAAAAACAAAATCCGTGTTTGTTTTACTGCAGGAGGATTGTGTTCATGCACAGTGTGATATTTCAGTGTCTGAGAAGCAGTGAGTGAGATAGCAGTGATCAACAATAATCTTAATTCCCAGCCCAGCATATCTGAGTTTAAGGAAAGAAAAGGGCATAAATGATCAAACAAAGGAATTACTTCAAAGAGGAATTGTAAGGCAAAAGTCTCACTTAAATGTAAAGGTACTCAAGTTCTCACACTGGTGTTTTTCTTTGAAAAGAAGATTTAAACTTTTAAAACCAGAAGCTGCTTTTCAGAGAACATAAACAGGGAGTGAGAGGAGGGGATAAACTAAAATAACTGAAGCAGTGATGAAGGACTCAACTCTGTGTCTTTTCAAAGAGCAGTGTGGAAATCTTTTCTGTTGAAAGCCCCCAAGCAGCCACTGATCTGGCTTTTGACTAAACAAATGGATTTCTGTGAGGAAGAAGCAACCCTGAAACTTCCTGTGGCTCTGGGCTGACTGAGAAGTGAGGGGTGCAGGGGCTGGGCCTCAGGAGTGTGATCTGACCAGAATGAACCTGGCTGGAGGTTTAATTGAACACGTGGCTCCCTGGGGAGGTGCAGAGGAGGCGCTGCAGGGCAGGGGAAGCTGCCGTGCAGATACAGACCCTGGACTGAGCTTTGCTGCTTATCAGATACCAGCTCTTCAGTCCTACTGCACATCACATCTGGTCCCAAGCAGGAGGAACAGCACTTGTCCATGTAGAATGTTCAGTGAAGCTCCTGAAGGAGAGGGAGTTCTGCCATCTCGGTTTGGACTCTGTGGTCTTCTTGGGTCCCTTCCAGCTCAGAATATCCAGTGATTCTGTGACCCCACATGACCCTGGTGTAGCTGCCCAGGAGGGGTTTCTTGCATGTGCCTCTGCCACTTTAAATCACCACTAAGGACTGCTGCCCCAACTTTGGATCTTTGTTGGAGGCTCTTCCTGTTGACTTCAAACACATCTGGGACAGCCCCTGCCTCACAGTTCCCCTTTCCACCACTGCTGAACTTCTGTTGATGCCACCAGGTAAGTTTCAAGGTTAAATTGGTTTAGTAGAGATAAAGGGCAAGAAAAATGTGTTGTTCCTGTGCTCATGGGGCTGCTATTACAGCAGAGCCCGGGCTAAGTTGTGGTTGTGGTGCAGGAGAGGCAGGACAGGGTTGGGGCTGGAGCTGTGTCTAAGGGCTGCAGGACTCCATCCCCACGGAGGCTGCTACAGGGCAGTGCTTCCTTTTGCTGTGGGATTAAACACTGCTGAACTCGGGGCCAGGCTCAGACAGTGAAACGTGGTCAGGCTGCAGTTCCCAGTTGTCTTGAGGGAGGTGGCTGGTCAGCCTGATTCTGATTGTGCTTCAGGCTGTTTCCCTAAAAACTCCCTCATGATGATGCCAGGGATATGTGCCTGGTGATTGTTGTTTGTGCAGGGTCTGGAGAGTGGGAGCAGAGGGCTTTGATTCCTGGCTCAGGCTGATGGCAGGAACATGGAGCAGGCTGGTGTCTGTGAGGCTGTGCCCTTGCCTGTGGGGATCTGCTGTGGCTGAGTGGGGCTGGGAGCGACAGCCCGGGCCCTGCTCTGGCTCCTGTGCAGAGCTACAGGACAGCTCCTAGGGCTGTGTGTTCCCGCCATCTGGAAAAGCAGGAACACCTTCTGGTCAGGCATATGGCAAATCCAGGGGGCAGAGGTGCTTGGCAACTCCCAGAACTCCCTGGCTGACCCCGGGCAGTGCAGCTGGAATGGGCAGCACAGGCTCTGACAGCAGGAAGCAGGTAGATGGGATGTTTCCTGCTACCAACAGACTTGCTAGATTCAAATATGGATATTAGATAGATGCTCCTACACCAGAGGTGCCCCTCCCAGGCCAGGCTTTTTCTAGGCTGAAATGTATAAAATATACAAGAACAATTCTTAGTCTTTTCCTTTACAAATCTCCTGGTGATCCTGGTGATCCACAGCTGGAGCTGTGCTGATCGGCAGTGCTGGCAGGGATTGGAAACCTCTTGTGATCCATGTTGAGAGGCTGGGGAGTGGCAGGGGATGCTGTGGAGGGGGGATTCTGCCTCTGTGTAGAGGTGCAGCAGGGTGCAGGTGTTCCCCTTGGTCCTTACCGAGAGCATCAGACCCTGAACCATGGGCTGAGGAGTGACACTGAAGCTCAGTCCCCCGAGCAAGGGATTTCCACCCTCGCCCCCGAGCCCAGCCTCTCATGAAGCTTGATTGCCAAAAAAGTCCTCGTCAGTGTCCTCCAGGGTGGGATGCAGTGAGTGCACCAGCAGGAGTGGCTGTGGTTTGGTGTCACCCGTTTCTGTAGGACACGGCTCAGAGGGGTCCTTGGTGGTGTGGACACGGAGCCCCAGATCAGCATCACGATGGCTCTCCCTGTGCTCTCCCTGCTGCGTGAGGCCCCGTTCTACCTTTGCTTTGTCATGCTCCTGAATAATGGAAGGGTTGTAAACAGATCCTGCCTGGCTCTCTCGTTTCCTAGGGGAGACAGGAAGACTTGGCCACTACCCTCACCCTGCTCCTGTCCTTGTCAGGGATCCGGTGTCCAACAGGAGCTGAGCTGGGTAAGGGGAGGCCTGGAGGCTTGGGGAAAGGGGCTGGGCCGTGCTGTGCGTCCCCTTGTGCTTGTCCCATCCCAGTCCCTCTGCTCTGGCCCCAACTGGGGGAACAGGTCCTCCCTGGCCCCCTGAGCTAGGTATGCCTGTGCTGCCACAGGGCCCTCTCAGAGCAGCTTTTGCACCTGGGGCTTCTCTTCCTTCTTCAGCTTATTTTAAAACGAAGCAAAAATGTGCATTTTAGCCTCATTTTAGCCACCTCTCTGTTTCCCCTGGTCAAATATTTTGGTGAGCAGAGTGTGTTTGGGTTTGGGGACCAAAGCTGCTAGGCTCTGGTTGATTTCCTGGGCACTGGGGCTATGCTGCCCCCCCTCACAGAGGGGCAGGTGGAGGGACCCTTTTTCGGCACCCAAACACCATTTGGGACTCGCTCCATAGCATAAAGGGATGGCTGGATGAACTGGCTCAGGGTGGGCTTGTGGTGCCTGCTTTGAGGGCAAAAGGAGCCAGGAGCTGTGTCCTTACTGTGGATTCTTTTCCTGCTCTAGGCAGGCTTGTGGGTGTGCCTGGAGAGGGTCAAATCCTGCCCTAGCACCGCACCCTGAAGTTGACTATGAGGACTAACGGGGAATTTGGTGGCTCTGCTGCTCCCCTTGGCAGTGCTGGCTGTTCCTATGGCAGGGCTGCTGCACCCTGAGCATTGGAGACCCACGGCTGTGCTGGGTGTCACAGCCTCTTCCTCTTCCTTTCTGTGTGGACAGGAAGGACCAGGTTTCCTTCCTGTGCAGGGTGGGGGTAGGGGCAGCTGTCGTGAGAAAAGCCCTCCCCCTCCTGCAGCTGCTGCCAAACCCCAGAGTCCTTCCCACTTTGGGCCACTGAGCAGCAAAGCTGGGCTGGGCTGTACCATCCCGGCTCCCTTGGCCTCCTGGAGTCCTCCAGCCCCTGTCCAGGTGGGAATCCCGGACTGCCTCTGCTCCAGTGCAGGTGGGGTGTCCCCACTGAGCCCTTGGGACTCCACTGGGGCAGAGCTACTGCCATCCCACCATAGCAATGTAAGGATTTAAACCCAAAAGATGTAGGAAAAGTGGAAGCCAGCAGATGCAGGAGCCTGGGCATGTCTCTTTTGCCTTCCCAGCACTATCAGCTGCTTCCTGCCCTACCGGATCTCTCTCTCACAGAGTTGTCCCAGGCTCCATGTGCTCCCATGGGGAGCAGCCAGGGCTGGAAGTCGTCATGGGGGATTTGTAGAAGATGGAGCTTGGCAAGAGACATGAAGCGTCCCTGAAGGTAGGAGAAGTCCAGGCCAGCAAGGAGAGAAGGAGAGTGGGATCCACACTTCTGTGTGAATCAACAGGGTGGGTGGAATGGAAGGGAAGAGGCTTTCTCTCCTGTGAGATGCTGTGGCTGAGTTCCTGTGTGGGAAGGAGCTGATCTGGTTGGGAGCTGGGGACAAGCAATGCAGTTGGGGACTCGTGGATTCTCCAGAGCCATGTTCCTGCTCTGAGTCTGGAGGAGGGAAGCAGTGTGAGAAAAGGGTGGAGGGGTTGGGAACAAACTGGACCATGGAAGAGCCCTTTGTGGCCCACATTGGTTCATTGGGATCAGAAGGGGCTTCATTCCCAGCCCAGCTGCGATGCCCAATGCTCTGGTGAGGAGCTGGAGTGTGTGGGGAAGCTGTGGTGTCCTAGGGCTACATCCCAGGTAGGATCCAGGTTCCGGATCCCAGGGTGCCAGGTGTGCAGTTCTGGCTCTGCAGCCCCAGAGATTTTTGCCACCTCTGCAGAAGAACTGGAAAATAAATGGGCAAAAAGCTGTGCCAGCTCCATGTCACCAGCTCCTGACTTGGTGAAGTGGCAGGTTTGTGCCAGAGTTTGGGATGTTTGGGCTGGGCAAGATCCCCCGGCGGGGTTTGGTGCTGCCCGGGGGATGGGAGCTGCCTGCAAGGATGGGGTGGGACACAGCTGCTGCCATCCTAGGATGCCAGTCCGTGAGGCTGCCGCAGTTCCCACCGTGGGCTGGGGACCCTTGGCCCGTCCCGTGGTTCCCGCCAGCCTGCCCGGTTCTCCGAAGCTCCCGGGGGCAGAGGCCGCCGGCGAACGCTCCTCCTCTGCGGGAGGCAGGCAAGGACTCGGGGTGGGGCTTTGTCGAGCGAGAATCCAGAGTCCGGCCAGCCCGGGGAAGTTGCCAGGGCCGAGCACCCCGGAGAGGCGAGGCTGCTGCCCACCCGTGAGTGTCTGCCCTCGGCGGGTGCGTCCAGAGTGGGGCTGGCCAGGAGCCATCTCCTGCTGCCGTGGGCGGGGGTGCCTGGGACCCGGGGCTGAGGGCAGGGAGCTGGGCTGAGGATTCCCCAGCTGTCAACGGTGGGGACAGGATCTGTGTAAGTGTCCCTCCCTACAAGGATCCCGTGTTCTATGGGACACCTGAGTTGACCGAAAGTTTTGGCCCCCAGACCCGTGTGCTACTGGAACAGGGCAACCCCTGGAGCAGACACCCACAGACAGTGTGGCCAGACCCTGGCCTGACTCCCAGGGGGCCCAGGAGCCCCCATCCCACACAGCCCCGAATGGCCACAATTTGCAGTGTCCCCCACCCATTTCTGGTGCTGGGTTCCATCCCACCCCTTTCCATCCCGGGGGCCCGCAGGGCGGGGCACTGAGCTGTGCTGCAGGAGAGGTGGTGTTTACCCTACTGGGTGACACAGCTCAGTCTGTGCCTCGATTTCCCCCAGCATGGAAAGGCTTTCCTGGCAGTGGGAAGGTAGCCCTGGCTGTTCCCTTCTTCTTGTGCAACCAGCCCTGCTGTCCCCAGTGCTGGCGGAAGCAGCTGGAGCTGCCTGCACACCGGGAGCTTCCTCGAAACCTCGTGGGACTGAGGCTGGGAATGGCGTGTTCTTCCCCTGCCCTGGACTGAGGCTGGGGAGGAGTTTGGTTCTAAGCAAGTGGCTCTCAGCTCCTCCTTTGCGATGTCCCCACAGCGGAGTGGCTTTTGGGGACATCTGCAGTGGGGTGCTGAGCTGTGGGGGAGGTGCATGAGGTGCTTGGAGCAGAGTGTGGGGGCAGGAATACTCTGTGGAGGCACTTTGAGCTGGAGCAAGAGGATGCGGCACCCCTGGTTGTGCCCACTAACCTGGGCTGCTTTATTCCTCCATGGAGGTGAAATCCAGCTAGTGGGATAATTCTGAGGCTTTACTCGTTACCTTCTGTTCTGTGTCTGTGACCCCTGTGCCCCATGGGCTGCCTGCTCCTTGGGTGAAACTGGTGCCTGTGCATAGCAGCATCTTGTTTTCAATGCAGGATGGGCCGTTGGCAGCCAGACATTCCCCAGCATTCCCCAGCAGCCAGAAAAACCATTGGCCACCCAGAGTGGCCAAACGCCCAGCCTTGGCATGTGGCCAAGCCTCGCCCCGTGGTCCTGGCTGTAGATCCCAGACGTCCAGGCTTGGAAATCCACGTCCAGGGTGGCGTCACTAGGATGTCTCCGTGTCTCAGACAGATCCCTTGTGCTGCTCCCCCCTGAGCTGGTGAGGTCTCCCACGTCTCCAGAGCTGTAAGGGACGGTAAGGCCCCACTCTGTGCTGGGAGCTGGGCAGAGACTTTGAGCAGCTCCAGGAGCTGCTGTTGTCTCTGCCGGCAGTCAGTCCTGCCCCGCCCGGGAGCGCGGCTCTCTGGCTCCGAGTGTTTATCTCCAAGGAGCAGCCGTGTCCCTGGGCGGGGTCAGTGCTCCAAGGACGGAGTGGCTGTGGATCGGATCCGGGGCACCTGCTCGGCACCAGCCTCTTGAGGAGCTGATAACCCCTCCAAAGGACTCCTGGGCACAAAAACTGGAGAGTTCTCCTTAAAATAAGCCCAGCATACGCTCCAGGGCAGCGGCCCCAGAGGTGCTGTGCTCCAATCTGTGGGGCCCGTGAGTGGGCTCAGAGCATCCTCTGCACAGGGATGGTTGGGGCAGGAAAGTGTTTAGAGCGCGGTCCTGGGAAGCTCAGCCTTGGTTTGGGAAGGCTTTGACCGAGCCAAGCCAAGGCACTGTAAGCAGTTTAGATGGGGCTGAGGGTGTTTGCCCTGTCAGGCTGGGCAGTCACCCGGGCTCAGCTGCCTCTCTTTCAGGGCAGCACTGTCATATTTATAATGGAATATAATATTTATAATAAAACAAATTTATAATGGAAAAAAATGCAGGAGCATTTTAGGCTCCTGCCACACCCCTGCTACAAGGTAAAATATCTCAAGTTCACTGCAACTTCCTCAAAGGTGACACTGTCTCCTCAGGGACACCTTTCTTGTCCTACCAAGCAGGGGATGAGGCTGGGACAGTGTGCGCTGGTGCCTGCCTGGAGGAAGCTGGCAAGCTGCTTCCTCCTCACAGTGCTGGAAAGGCAGCCTGGGCCCATTTGAGACCTGAGTGTTTCCCAGGGCTTGGTGACAAGTCCTGGGGTGTTGGTGACTGATCCTGGGGTGTCCCCATGACTCGAAAGTTTTTCGTGAGACACTATCACCTGCATTTCTTCTGCCTCCAGCTCCAGGGTGCTGCTTGAGGTATCCCTGGGCAGCTGAGGTGTCCTGGGACTGGTTTGGGGGGATTTTGTACCTGGTTGATTTTGTCCTGGTCAGGTTGGGGTGTCCCTGTCCCTGCCTACCCAATGGGGACAGTGCACGGGTGTCCCCTGTTGCCCCATGGCTGCCCTTGGGTGTGCACCTGTGGGTGCTCAGGGCAGGGGGGCAGTCCCAGGGGTGTATCCAGATGCTGTCCCACTGTCCCATCCAGAGGGTGGTGGCTTTCCCCAGGCTGTGCCCTGACATGTCCCCTCTCCCCAGGCCTCAGCCAGCAGGGGCCATGCGATGCTCCCTGAAACGCTCCCTCACAGCTCTGCTTGCTGCCTCCTTCGTCGTCCTCCTCCTCTTGCTCCTCCATGGGGACAGCCAGCAGGAACAGGATCCCCTGGAGGTGAGTCCCCAACCAGTGATGTCCCACTGGAGAGGCCACTGGAGCATCCTCTATCCCTTCCTGCCCCACATAGACCCCAACCTCAGCTCTGCTTTCTTCCCTGCCCCATGTCACCCGAACCCCCTGCTCTGCCTTCTTCTCTCCCTGGGGTTGCCTGGGCAGCTGGACCCCCCCTGAATCCAGGAGTTGGGAGGGCAGGACAGGGGCTCCCCTTCACTTCTTGGTCCCCCTATTGTCATCCCCCCCCTTGCTGCAGGGTGCTCTGGGTGTGACCTGGTTGCCTTTGGCTCCCATGCAGGTGGAGCTCAGGGGCCTGGCTCCCGACATGATCCTGCTGCAGCCGGAGGGAGCCCAGCACATCCTCAGGGACACAGCTGAGCTCTCTGCACTCCACAACGTCTCCTACCAGCTCCTTGCTGGCTCCCTGACTCCCCGAAAAAGTGAGTGGTCCTGGACTTTCTAGATGTGCACATCTGGGTGTGCACAGCTGCACATCCCAGCATGGACTTTCCCCCTCACTGCTGCTGGGGCAGGGAGGGGCTGTGTCCAGCCTTTTTGGGTGGGGACCTGCCCACAACCTCCTCCAAAACCTCCACAGCCTTCACTGCTAGCTCTGGGGATGGAGGAGTTGGGGAAACTCCACGTGCTCCTTGCAGGATCCAAGTTTCTGCACCTTGGGACTGGTGTGAGCACAGGTGTTTTGGGCTTCCCAGACCTCTCTGGGGAGGGTTGCAGAGATCCCGTCTCCCCGGGGTTGAGCTTCCAGGGGAGATGGTGAGCTGGACCACTGGGACAGCCCCATAGTGTGGGAGAAGTGGGCCAAGCTCTTGGACAGGTGCACAAGAAGCAATTCCCATGCAAACCCCGTGGGAAGAAGCTCAGGGCAACCTGTGAGGCTGTGCTGGAACCAGCACAGGAATGGTGCTCTCCTGACCAGCAGCAAGAGAAGCTGAACCGAAGCAGCCACTGCTGGGCCATGGGGGGGACAGAAGGTGCCTGATCCCAGTGTGGGTGCATCTCTATGAGGTGTGGAGTGGGGAATGCTTCCAGGATGTGCAGTGTCTTGGTCTGAAAAGATAGGCGTCTGCTAAGGAAGTCAGGAGCCTCTCTTGAAATGGAAAATGTAAACCCCCTCCCTCTGAATTATTACAATTTTGAAATTAAGGGGCTCTCAGGCAAAGATATGGGAATTGGAATAACAGTTCTTTATTAGGAAAATTAAAATAAAAATACAGTAATACCAAAAGAACCACTGACAGAGTCAAAAAACAACCCGACATCCTGTCAGTTAGGGTGTTGGTAGCAGTCCCATTAAATGGTGGCTGCATCCTCCTGCAGTGACAGATGTGGTTCTGTTGGAGCAGTGCTCCTATGGAAGGTGCAGTTTTCCTCTGAAGGTCCAGTGGTGGTGTAGATGTGCCTGGTCTTCCTCTGGAAACCAGTGGGTAAGGGCTGCTCTGATGTTCGAAATCTCAGCTTTGATCTGGGTAGGAAATGCTTGGCTCCGAACCCCCGGGTGGGGCATCTCCCAATGGGATGATGGAATTTTATCAGTCATGCCCTGGGACTGCATGGCCATTAACAGGAGATATCTCCTGGAGGGAGGATGGGTTGTGGAAAAGATAAAGAACACTACCCCACCTGGTTTTAACAGCTGGCCCAATAACACAGAATATCCCCCCTGGAGTTATGAGGAATGGGTCATGGAAGAGATAAAGAACACTGCTCTACCTGGTTTCAACAGATGGTGATAGAATACATACCGCTGGTTGCATCTTGCATTGCAACCTAAGACATGCAGCCATACCAATAAGCCATTCCTGCTTATAGACTCTCTCTGCACTGTTACTTGCCTGGGTTTAGCTTCCTCAGCCTGTCTCTTGCTGCCATTTGGGCCAATTTTGGGCCCCTCCTGAGACACTGAAGGCTTCAGCTTCAGGAAGGACCCACCTACCTTAGACATGGGTTACAAACAGCACTGACCCTGCAGGCTGGCCATGGGAAGAGGTTTTTGGAGCCTTTTCATTACATCTTGCAGGGAAGTACATCATGTAGTGATCCCAGGTCACCCCTCTGCCTGCTCATGCCTTGCAGAATTCCTGGCTGTGGGAATGGCGTCCGTGCAGAGGCCACGTGGTTTCTACCTCCTGGCCACGCTCCAGTCCCTCTTCAGCCAGTCCACGGAGGAGGAGCTGCAGGAGATGGTGGTGGTGGTGCACCTGGCTGACACTGATCCTGGCTGGAACGTGCGCGTTGCCGCCACCGTCGCCCAGAAGTTTGCTCGCCACATCCTCCTGGGCCAGCTCCTGCTGATCCACGCTCCCCCTGAGTTCTACCCCACCCTGGAAGGCCTGAAGAGAAACTTCAATGATGCAGAGGAGCGGGTGAGGTTCCGCTCAAAGCAGAATGTGGACTATGCCTTCCTGCTTGCCTTCGCTGCCAACCTCTCCTCCTACTACCTGATGATCGAGGACGACGTGTGGAGCGCCAAGTCCTTCCTGACGGCCATCCGCAAGGCACTGGCTTCCCAGGAGGGCTCCAACTGGGCCACCCTCGAATTCTCCAAGCTGGGCTACATCGGAAAGCTCTACCACTCCAGTGACCTTCCTCGTCTTGCTCACTTCCTCCTCCTCTTCTACCAGGAAATGCCCTGTGACTGGCTGTTGGTCCACTTCCGCCAACTGCTCACCCAGAAGGACGTGATCCGCTTCAAGCCATCCCTCTTCCAGCACATGGGCCTCTACTCTTCCTTCCAGGGCACTGTCAACCGGCTGGAGGACGAGGATTTCCAGGCCAATGCCTTGGACGTCCCAGACAACCCGCCGGCATCCCTGTACACCAGCATGTCTATCTTCGAGAACTATGAGCCCCTCAAGGCCTACAGCTCGGCACAGGGGTACTTTTGGGGCAAAGACCCAGCAGCTGGCAGTACCTTTTCCATTGTGTTCCAGCAGCCAGCTCGAGTCAGCCGTGTCCGAGTGCGCACGGGTTCCGTGGAGCGCCCAGGCGATTTCCTGCACGCAGGACTGCTGGAGCTGGGCCAGCATCGGGACCGCAGGCAGGACTGCTCCTCCTATGTCCCTGTGGGTTCCTTCAAGAAGGGGACCCTGGAGCAGCAAGGCCTGGAGAGGGTCCTGCCCGGGCCCGTGGAGTGTGTGAGGATCCGGGTGACTCAGGACCAGAGCGAGTGGCTCATCATCCAGAGCATCGATATCTGGACCACAGCAGGCATTTGAGCACAACACCTGTGGGAGGATGTCAAAGCAGTTGGATTTGGTTCTAAGAAGTCATTTATTTTTCACATTCCCTTTCTGGATAAAAATTTAAGTTATTGACTCCCACTGCCCTGTGTCTGGAGAGATGGGAAAAACTGCTGTGGGCTGTGGATAGGTCTAGGAGTAGGGCCCATCAGGATCTGCCTCCTGGGGGATGGCCCAGTGAGCCAGAGAGGGGACACAGGAAGGGGAAGGAGCTCAGGAATTCAAGGCTGGGCAGTACAAAACCTTTCCTCCCAAGGAGGATGATATATAAGGCAAAGCTGATCAGCTGATTAACTATCCAAGTAATTAGTCAGGCAGTAGTACTTTTTGCAGCCTCTCCACACTTTACCTGCTGTAAGTTTTCTAACTTTTTCCAAAACTCTTGATTTTTATCTCCCTCCCCTCTGATCCCATTTCCTAGCTGCTCCTGGAGGCGTCAGGGCAAGGTCTAGGGCTGCTGCTCACCAAACCCCTCATCCAGCAGGCTCAGCAGGTTGGTGGCAGCAGCAAGCTCCCAGTGGTGCTCCGCCGTTTCCCGGTGCCGATTGGGAGCCACGACCACCAGATGGACCCATTAGCCTGGCCCTGGGCAGTGCCTCCCGCCATCGCTGCTTGTTCCTGTCCTCAAAGGGAATAAATCAGTTCCCAGGGACCTCATCTCGTGTTCATGCGGGATTCACACGGAGAAAGAAGGACAGGCAAGATAGGGCTTCTACAAAGGGGAGGAAGGCCCAGAATTGAGCACCAGGGAACACAGATGAGTCAAAGAGAACATGACCTTGGTATAATATGAAGTTCTGGGTCCTGTTTAGCCCAGTGAGGTGCTGAAGGGTAGTTGGAGTACACACAGGCTCCCAAAAGCTGCTGTTTGGGTTTGTCTGGCTGGGCCAACTTGGAGGGCTGGATGCTGCTGGCCCCAGCATGCACGGTAGTGACTGGCACCTCTCCCAGTTAGGCTTTTAGCAACAATTTCTCAGCTTCCTGCAAAGGGAGGAATTCCAGTCTGCTCAGCTTTCCCATGGGATAGGCCAGAGTTTAAGTGACTAACCTGTGCCAAGCAGGACTCTGGTCTGCCCATGTTCCAAGCCTGGCTCTCCTGGAGCAGGACAGTCGCTGCCAGCAGGGACCAGTGCCAGGAACACTCCTGCAGTGCCATAACCCCAGCTCTGGCTTGAGGTGGCATCAGCTCACCTGCTAGGCACTGAGAGGCAGATGGAGAGCCCCAGACCTGGTGTGATGGGGTTTTTCCCCTAAAGAAAAAGCCATTCAGGTAGTAGATCTGCATTTAATACACATGTGCTACACCATAAACTCCAAATGTTCTCAGTGGGATCAATACATATGGCAGAACCACTGCTGCTTCGTCCACACAGCCCAAGTCCTGTCAGAGCTCTTGGAGTGTTCTGAGTGGCACAAGTGTTCACTTCCCAGGGCCCTGACAGGTGTTTCCAGTGCTCCAGGAGAGCCTTTGCCCCAGTTCTCTTGGACAAAAATGCTGCTGCCCACCCTGGGAGAACACCAAGGGTCACCAGTGTGTGTACAAATGGAGAGGTTTCACCCCTGGAGGTTTTTATCTACTGGTAGAGCACAAAAAGATAGAAATATAAACCAGCTTTTTGCCTGTTGAACTCTTACAGATGTAGGTACTAACAGGTTTTGTGATATTCACCTGCCCAGAAGCAAGCTGCAGTCTCAGTTATGCTGGTGTAAACCTGGATAGATTCCATTTACATCAGGATAAGCGGAAGCAGCAGTGCCCCCTGGCAGAAACCCCCTCCCCTTGGATCCTGTGCTGCACACGTGGCTCAGCACCACAATGCCCAGGGACCATCAGTGCACACTGTAGGAGGAGTGGCTGCTGCATCCTGGAGAAACAACACATAATTTATGCCACATTAAAATTCTCCCACTATTTTTATCCCAGGAAGACTCAGCCAGTTCCCAGTGCTCTGTTCCCAGCCCCTGTCCCTGCTGGGGTGGGCTGATGGAGTCCTGTGTTCAGCCGAGCTCCACACGGCAGCCATAGCCCAGGGGCCAGCACAGCTGGGCAGGGGAAGGACAGGGGACACAATCAGAGAAGCCTTTGGGGCTGCTGCTCCCTCTGGAGACGGTGAATCTGGGAGGGTTGGAGGTTCCATTCCAACGCTGGGGCGTCCTGATAGGGCAGAGCCCAGCAGAACCTAACTCAGCATCTTGTGCCGGTCGAACACCGTCTTCCTCTGCTCCTGCACCTGCCGCTTCCAGCGCTGCTGCGCCCCTTCCACTCGCTCCAGCACCGTGTTTGCCCTGGCACCAGCCAGGGTAGGCACTCCGGCCAGGGAGCGAGTGTCCTGCAAGGAAAGGAATGGGGCTGGAGACCAGGCAACGCCCAGCCCGAGCACATAGGGAGGAGGGACTTGGGAAGAAACTGCACCTGAAAGAGCAGTTCAAGGTTTGAGTTGTTTTGATGAAAAACCTCCTTTTCAGAGCTCCTCAACACCAGCCCCCAAGTCATTGCTCTTGGGAATCACCCACGACTCCAGAGAAAAGTCCCCAAGAGAGGAATCACAGAAAGCACAGAGCTCTGCTAGAAATCCACTCTTGGGAGTCTGCAAGGAGCTACAGTGCCAAACTGAACAACATACCCCCACTAAAACCAGGCTGACGATGGATGGAGATCCATCATGGCACAGGAACAAGGCCTATCCCAGAGGACTTAGTCCAGCAGACTAGAGTGAGACAAACCTCACCTAACACCAGGCATTTACCATGCACACCTGGATCTAGAGCTGAATTACTGCTTCAGAGCAGGGTGCAAACCCATGACTTTGGGATACAATCTCCTCCTGCAGGACCTCCTTTTCAGAAGAGGGAGGCAATGGATGGACTGTTAACACTGGAGCAGCTGCTCCTCACATTAGGGTATTAAGGAATTGGGCCAAACAGTTTATACTCACAAGGTATAAATATGAAAATCCAACCTAGGACTGCAACTGCATGAATGTTATGCAGCAAGAAATTTGTCCTCCCCCAGAACTGGTGTGTGTCAAAGAGAGAAAGAGGGAGATAGTGGCTTTCTTTGTTACTGGGTCCTTATAATTTTGCCCATGGTTTGTATGCCAGTGTTCCACAAAAGATGGGGTTTGAATGAAGTTGTGCTGTGGGGAGAAGCACAAGGAGCAACAGCCTGGGTATAACCCAGGGCCCAGCCTGAGAGCAGGATCAAACAGCATCTCATAGGCAGGTGTTTCAAGTGTCTAAAAGATGTTTCAGCCAACACAAGCTCATCCTTCCTGGAAGCTCAGCACCACAAAATTCCACCTGGGACACTGCACAAACAGGATCTGTCTTTTTGTTCCCTCTAGACAGACAAAACAAATTCAGGCCACTTGCTACAAAGCCCCCTCTGCCTCTGAGGGCAGGGCTTGCCTTGGGTTCATTACACAGAGCTTTAAATATCCCTTGTGTTTCTGCACAACCTGCAGAGATCTGAGTCTAAATGTTCACCTGTGTAGGTGCCCCCAAAGCAGCAGTGCTGGTCCCTCACTGGATCAGAGGAGACAAGCAGGAGGTCACTGTTTCCCTGTCCCCCATTCTCCTGCCCCCTTGTGTGCACCCCCTGCCCCCTCACCTCACTGTCCTCGTTATGCAGGGGCTGGGTGTAGGGGTCTGGCTTGCGGATCAGGGGGTCCACGAGCACCAGGAATGCCATGTAGAGCAGCAGAGCGCCCACCACCGACAGGTAGATGATGATGATCACCTGCAGTTGAGGACAGCACAGGGGGAAAGGATAAGCAGTGTAGATAAGAAGCACCGCAGAGATCAGGAAGGTCCTTTGCAGCTGCCTCTGATGTGTGATCTCTTGTTCTCATTTTACTCACAAGAGTCTCTTGCTCTTGCCAGGAGGCCGAGGTGGTGCCATCACTGCACAAAGTGTGCTGATGCTCTCACTGTGCCAACTGAGGGCATGTTCTGCACATAAGGGACAACGAGATGGGGCCCTGGTCAGAGAGGCTTGGCACTGTCACACATCCCCAATAAGACTGGGCTCCCACACAGCTCCTCACTACCAGGAATGCCCCTGGCTTGGACACACAGAAATCACAGAATCCCTGAATTACTGAGGTTGGAGAAGATGTCTGAGATCATAGAGTCCAATCTGTGACCAATCTCCACCTTGTCACCCTGCCCAAAGCACTCAGTGCCACATCCAGTTGTTCCTTGAACACCACCAGGGCCGTTGACTCCACCACCTCCCTGGGCAGCCCCTTCCAGTATCCAACACCCTTTTTGTGAAGAAATTCTTCCTCATGTCCAACCTAAACTCCCCCGGTGCAGCTTAAGACCACGTTTTCTTGTCCTATCACTGGCTGCCTGGGAGAAGAGGTCAATCCCCCCCTGGCTAAAGCCTCCTTTCAGAGTTGTAGAGAATGAGCCCCTGGCACTGCCACCATCGACTTGCTGTGACAGTTTTCTCTTTCTGGGCTCTTCACCAGGAACCTACCAGTGTGGCAGTGCCTGGGCTGCTGTGGCACTGCAGGGGGCAGGGCACAGGCAGGGCACTGAGCTCAGGTACCTTGATGGTGGTGGTGCTGCGCTCCTCGTACTTGCACTCGCAGAGCAGGCAATAGGCCTCCACGTCATTCCCGGGCACTGGCATGGGCTCCACCACGTGCAGACAGTTGCTGCAGCACAAACAAACCACAATCAGCAGCAGCACAAGGTGAAAACAGTGCTCTGTGCAAGGACACTGGGGTGACTTTGTCTGTGCCTCAGCTTTCTTGTCAGGGTGATAACACTGATCTGGTGTTAAGAGCTCCCCTCACAGCCTAGCACAGACTGTCCCAGGGCCTTTTACAGGGATCCAGTCCAGGTGGAAGGGACTGGACGGCACACCCTACATCTGCCAAGACCAGTGGGTTAACGTATCATCCCAGATTCCTCAATTCCTGTTTAAAAAATGCCCCTGGCCTGGGTTGAATATCACCCACCAAAGCAGCTCCCTCCACAAATATACAGGCAGAGAATCTCTTCCTCAGCAGCAGCTGGGAACTCCAGAGCTTGGCTGTCATGGACAGACCCCTGAGGCTGCCCCCACTCACTCACCAGTCCTTCTGGGATACATTCTTGTTGTAAATGTGCCCACTGATGTTACGGTACGGGGGGCAGATGCACTTGCAGCGAATGTCCTCGGAGCTCTGCAGGGCACAGGAGCCATGTGAAGGAGGGGACACGGCTCTGTCCCCTCACACCCCACCTCTGCTGTGCCCCACACACGGCTCAGTGTCACCCACCTTGCTGGCCTGTGCTGAGGGACACAGGACGCAGCCCAGCAGCATCAGCAGCAGCACGGGGCTCGCTGAGTTCCGGGAGCTTTGGGCAAACATCCTGGGAGCCTGAAGGAACAAAACTCACATCCAGGATAGAGCATGTCAACTGAAAGCAGCCACAACAAGGTAGTCAGAGATTTTTTTTTGGCCCACTTGCCCCTGTTTTTCCCAGGAAGAATAAATTTGTTCCTGAATCACCAAGCCAGAAACTCTTGGAAACAACACAGATACCAAGAACACGCCTGTCAGAAGAGCTTCTACCCTGTACAACCACACATCCAGACTACCCCAGCCCTGCAAAAATATTGCTGCTTTCCTTACAACTGGACTTGCACAAAACCTCCTGTTCCTCTCACTATCCTGCAGCCCAGGTACAGATATTTTGGTGCTGACAGTTTTGCTCAGTAAAAGACACAGAACTACGAAAACCATGGAGCAAGTGACCTAAAGCAGTACACTGGGGCCTCTCTGCTGCACTGTCATGAATGGTAAATCATTCATCTTCTGACATTCAAAGTCTTGCTGCTGAAGGAAAGGATGTATTTTCCTGTCATGAGCTATGGGAGAGGGATGGAATATTCCTAAGTACTCTATACCAATTCCTAAACCTACTTTATCTTAAGATACCTGTTCAATAAATCCTGATTTTAAAACTACTTCAAGCTGGTAGCTTAGTGAATTCATTAACACCTTTTGCTACACATTACAGAATAGTTTGGGCTGGAAGGGACCCTGAAGATCATCTTCTTCCAACACCCATGTATATGGATAAAGTTGTTCCAGAGACGTGTGCTTCCACAAATCCATAAGAATGTAATTTATCCCCTGTGCCGCAAAAGGCAAGTTGGCCTTGGCCAGGCTGGTGTTCACCCTCAGAGGGAAAAGGTGGAGCAGGTGTTGGGGACCTTGGGACAGCACACAAGAGCTGTTTCAGCAGAGGAAGAGGAATGGAATTTACACCTTCATTAATCAGCTCTCAGGTAATCCCAGAGTTTACTCCAGGTACTTGTACTCTATCACCTGACCTGATTGCACTGGGATTTAATCACTGCTATATTCCATCACCCTTTGCTTTACCTTATGTCAACACCTTAAATTGACATAATGGATTACAAACACCAAGTTCCTTTCTTCTTTATCTAAACAAAACACCAGCAACTTCTAACAAGCTGCAAGACTGCCAAAATGCATCTCAGTCCTATCACTTCATCTCATAATTTATTAAGGTTTGGCACCACAGTTTCAAAAATCTCTTCCAACAATGATGCTTTCCAGGGAGATTCCCCTGTACATCAGGGGTTCAGATCACCATCACAGATGTGGGGAACAGGACTGATCTGAGCTGCCCAGTGCACATTCCCCATTTTAAGTGGGTCTGGACTTTTGTCTGAATTTTTTCTGAATGGGGCATATACCTAGAATTCAGTTTTAGCCTCTCAGCTGAGTTCAGAATATCTGAACAGCTCATAAATGTCACTTTTAATAATAGTAGGGGAAAACAAGTGATCTATTATATCATAAACAAAAACTTGGAACCTGGGCAGAGTTCACGCACCATGAACTGCAGAACACCCTCAGTCACACAAAGGATAATTAAGGCATATTTATCCCCAAGTTTGACAACGAAGGGACACGTGCACATATGCCTTAGAGCTATTTTTTCCAGACCATCAGCCCAGCCCACGGCAGCCAAGTGGCCAAAGGCAGCTGCATATGGACCAAAACCCACCAGCGCAGTAAGCACAGCACAGGATACATGTTTGAGGTGAAGTTCTCAGGGGGCTCTGAGTGTGGCAGCTCCCAGGATGAGCCCCCACAAAAGGTTGTCCAGAGCACCGGTGCACACAAACCACCCCGTGCTCCTTCTCCCTGGGAGAGCCCAAATAATCACCTCATCTTTAACCTCTCTATCCCTGGAAGTGTCCAAGGCCAGGCTGCACGGGGCTTGGAGCAGCCTGGTCTCGTGGAAGGAGTCTTTGCCCATAGCAGGGGTTGGGACTGGATGAGCTTTATGGTCCCTTCCCACCCAAACCATTCCGGGATTGATTCTGTGAACATCACCTGGAGCCCTTCGAAGACTCCGGCCCATTTCCCTTCCCGGATCTGTGGTCGAACCACTCCTGACATCGACCCGGACCCAGGGCAGGGCCGGACCCCTCAATTCCCGCCGAAGGCCCGGATGCTCTCTCCGCCCTCCAGGGGCTTCCCCCGCCCCGGCCCACCCGGCTTCCCGGGATGCCTCCGGCAGTGCAGGCCGCCGAGCCCCGGGTCCCGCACCGCTCCGCACAGTCCTGCTCCGGGTGCGGGGAGCGGAGCGGAACAGGGCCAGGGCGCACCACCCCCCCGGCCGCCGCCCAGATCGCTACCCCACACCCGCCCCTTACCTGCCCCTCGCTCCGGCTCGAGCGCAGCCCCGCCCTGCAGGCCCCACCCCGGCCCTGCTCGCGCACCCATTGGCTATGGGGCGTGACGCGCAGTGACAGACACCACCGCTGGCCAATCGGAGGGCAGGCAGCACAGCCTGGTGCTGAGGGTGGGCCCGCGTCCCGCAGAGCTGAGGGGACGCGGTGGCTGCAGCGCGGGTGGGAGCGTCAGCGGTGCCGGGAATTGCCGCTGCCGGAGGTGCCTTCGGCGGACACGGCCCGGGCAGCTCCCGCCTGGCTCCCTACGCGGGGCAGCGCCGCCCCGTCCTGGGGCTGAGCCGCGGGATAGCCCCGCTCCTTCTCCGCCCCTTCTCACCTCCCTCACATCCCCGTTTTCCCCTTACAGCCCCTTCTCCCCTCACACCTAGCTCTCCTCTCATGGTCCCACTCCCCCCTAATGGCCCCCCTCTTCCCTCACGGACCCCGCTCTCCCGTCATGGCCCCTCTCTTCTCTCCCTGTCTCCGTTCCCCTCTCACACCGCATTCTCCCGTCATGGCCCTGCTCTCCCCTCACACCGACGGTGGTCCTGTGTTTATGAGAGGGAAAAACCCGGGCCGCAGTGGTGCCCTTGCTTCTGTTTTTGGCCGATGTATGGCTATAGATGATATCAGTGATCGTTCAGGTTCAAATGCTTCAGTCTTGCTACGAACCCTTTGTATTTGAGACTTGTGACTCATTTTAAAAGTCTTGTCCTTACGCCAAGAGGAACATTGTGTCTTTCCAAGGCCACAGGGTCTGGCGTTTGCCCAGAGAACATTCCCGAGATGTGGTTCTTGTAGTACCTAGGGTTTGCTCCACTTTCTGTGTCTTGCACCCTTCAGGTGTGCAAATATCCCGAAGCCTCGGCTTTTCTCTGTTGCCAGCTCCCACCATTCACAGCTGGAGGGATTGAGGATGTCAAGAAAATTCCACAAACGCCAGAGATTTATGTCCAAAAAGGAGACAGGACAGGCCTACAACTTTATTCATATAATGGGAAAGTCCACCAGAGCACATGCCCGTGGAGCTTTATCTCTCGAAGTTTCGGAGAGCACAGCCTCTTTTGATTCCAAACTCATACGTTGCCCTCTTCCCCATTGCTGAGGTACTGGGAAGGTACAGCCTTCCCAAACCGCCTACTGCATGTCTCCCCTTGAACCTTATTTTACCCCAAAGTTCAGGCTTGTGCTGTCCTTCGTCTGTTTCTGGACTCATGCTGCCTGGGCTCTGCAACAAACCTGCTGCCTAAGGTTAGTAGAGACAGTAAGACACATTTCAAGGACGTTAACACCCATACCTTCACCCATCAAATTGTTTGTAAAGACATTAGTTTTCCTTTCAAGGGTCTTACCTGCTTCTCTGGCACTTTGCTGCTTTACCTGGTGCAGATTTATCTGGTCTGTGCTGCTGGATAAAGTCAGGACTTAATTTTTTTCAGGTAAAAAATCCATTGATGGAAAAAAAAAGAGACCCAAACCCCTGGTTTAACTTCTAGAAATAGAATCACAAAATCAAATAGGTTGGAAAAGACCTCTGAGATCATCGACTCCAACCTGTGCCTGACCCTCACCTTGGCATCCAGTCCAGAGCACTCAGTGCCATGTGCAGGTGTTCCTTGGACACCTCCAGGAATGGGGACTGCACCACCTGGAGTCCCTGGGCAGCCCCTTCCAATGCCCAACCACCCTTTCCATTGAGAAATTCCCCTGGATGTCCAACCTGAACCTTTCCTGATACAGCTTGATGCTGTTTCCTCTTGTCCTGGCCCTTGTTCCTTGGGACCAGAGCCCACCTCCACTGGCTGTCCCCTCCTGTCAGGGAGTTGTCAGAGCCAGAAGGGCCCCCCTGAGCCTCCTTTTCTCCAGGCTGAGCCCCTCCTGCTCCCTCAGCTGCTCCTGGGGCTCCAGACCCTTCCACAGCTCCATGCCCAGCTCTGGACTCTCTCCAGCCCCTCAATGTCCTTTCTGAACCCACCTGCCATGGACCCCTCGTGGGAGAGTGTTTCTAGTCCTGACAGAGTTTGCTCCTTTGATGAAAATAATAAGGTGAGATACATTCAGCCAAAAATGGGTGTAGATCAGAGGGGAAATGTCTGTTTGGCAGATAGTTCTGTCTCTCTGATAGTTTTAACTTTCCAGAAACTAGTAAATAATTGAGACTGCTTTTTTTTAGGGCTTGTAGAATGTATAGGTTGCAGAGAGTGCCAGGTTTTAAAATGTCCCACACTGCTCCATGCCCTTGGCATAGGAATTACTGATGTAAAAGTGCTTGAATAAAGTCATAAAGTTATGGAGTGGTTTTGGTTGGGAGGGACCTCAAAACTCATCCCATTCCACCCCCTGCCAAGGGCAGGGAAATCTGCCACTATCCCAGGTTGCTCCAAGCCCCATCCAGCCTGGCCTTGGACACCTCCAAGGACGGGGCAACCAAAGTTTCTCTGGGCAGCCTGTACCAGAGCTTCACCACGCTCACATAGAAGATTTTTTTTTTTCTAATACTTCATCTAAATCTACTCTGTTTCATTTTGAAGCTGTTCACCCTTGTCCTGTCATTGCATGTTCTTGGATATAGTTTCGTAAATAATATTCTAAAGAGTTTTCTCACCTCATTGCTGTAATATTTAAAATCCTGGCCCTGCCATGGCTGCATTCCACCCCCACTCACTGGAGTCTGTATAGGATAATGATCTCAGCCAGCTGGACTGATCCAAGGAAATATTCCATGAGAATAATCCTGGGTATCAGATGCACAAAGGACTTCTAATTCCTTCCTCCTACCCCAGTGTTGCGGAATGGCAGAAGATCTTTGGTTCTAAATCAGAGCTCTCCCTTCAGAGCAGAACCCTGGGCCTGCCTGCAGGACACTCAGTGCTGTGACACAGCTGAGTTTGTGCAGGTTTAAAAGCCCATGGCCACAGTGACTGACTTTCCTCAGGCTGGTGAGGTAGTGTTTTTATCTCTGACATTCTTGTTGTCACAGCAATCTGTTCTTCTGTGTCTTTTGCAGCCCAAACGTCCATACCACTGCTTCTTGTGGGACTACAGAAGACTGCATTGACACATGGAGGAAGCAGCCTGGACTGGTGACAAGACACTGGAAATGCCCTTGGAGGAAGTAAAGGAATGGCTTAGGCAGCTGAGAGACCACATCCAAGGATCAGGTTTTTTGGGTGAGTGCCTCAGAAACAGACTGACCCAATACAGGATGAGTTTGAAAGTTGCATTGCAGTTCAAGTGCCTTTTCCAAGAGGCTGGCTTCAGAATTCTTGGATGGGAGAGTGAGTTGCATGTACAGCTCCTGCAGTGATGAGTGGGAGATCTCACACACACTTCCAGGAGACTGTTTCCTGTTCCCTTCCCTGCTGACCTTCCTCCTAGCAAAGCTGTCTTTTTGTCTGTCTCAGATAACTGGGGTGCAGCAGGCTCAGTTATCTCCTGGATGTCATCCCTGTGGCTGTTTTTAAAACCGAGCAGCAGTGGGAAAAGTGAGACTTTGCCTGGAGGTAGCAGGATTTGCTGCTTTATTTCTTCCCACCTGTTGCTCAACCTTGCCCTCATTCCTAAGTGCTCCACTGCACACACCCAACAGATGTGGTCATGTTTCCTGAATTTCTGTGTGTGCTGATTGCAGGTCCCTTCAAAAATCTCTCCAGGGATGGGTTCTGAACCCTATAGAAATCTTGTCCTGAATTCCCAGTAATTTGGGTTGATTTTAGCCACTGACACCACCCTGTAGTGATCTGTGACTTGCACTGGGTCTGAGAAGGGGCTTTGGAGACCTTGGGACTGGCAGTGATGCCGTGGGGCTCTTCATTCCTGAATTCTGCCTCTCACTTTGCTAGCAGCAGAAAGGGTGAGAGGTGCCTCAGAGGAGCTTTCCATGCACAGTGCACTGGGAATAGAGGCCAAACACAATTCATGTGGCATGGAGGGAGAGGGAATAGAAGATGGAAAACAAAGAAACTCAAATGTGTAAGAGAGGAAATGCATCAGGTGTTAATACCCTGCCCTGTTCCTGTCTCCTGACCCAAGTAATTAGGCCTTGCTGGCACTTGTGGTGTCAATCTGAAGGACACGTGGCATTTTTGTTAACAAGAGCAGTGGCTGAGGACTCGCAGGAACAGCTTGTCCTTGTCCTCTCTGGACACAGGTGCTGGTGACAACACTGCAAACGTTCTTCCAGCCCAGCATCGTGGTCACAGCAGCTGGCACATATTTAAAGGGCAATTTTTAAAATTGTGAACAGACACATTGACTTGTAAATATTCTAGAAATATATCCTGCCATTATAAAAAGCATCTGCCTGCCAGCTGTGATAGTAACTGCACCAAAGGAAAAAGTGCCCATGGTCAAGAGGACTGGAACTGGGTTCCTGTTCTGTTTGTTGTTAATTCCATAGCTGTTGTTTTATTTACCTTGTTATATATACTAGTAAAGAACTCTTATTCTTACCCCTACATCTTTGCCTGAAAACTCCTTAATTTTAAAATTATACTAATTCAGAAGAAGAAGATTTACTTTCTCGATTTAAGAAATACCCCTGGTTTCCCTAACGAACACCTG